GGTAAGGTTATAGGCTTATATATGAAATAGGTGGATTGATCTCAGCCGTCGGATCAACTGAAATCAATGGCTTGGATCTAAAGGCCTAGGGGAAACGGTGTCGTTTCAACTAAAGGGGGTTTGGGTTGGTCCGGGTGGAAACGGGTCGGGTTCTGTTCGTGGGTATGGGAAATGTGATCTTGGCCGTTGATCAATCTGAGATCAACGGCCTGGATCAAACTGGATTAAAACGGCGTCGTTTGGACACCCTGGGTATCAGCTGGACTGGACCGGGCAGGCCTGGTTTGGGCATTGTTTGTTTGGGCCAATTTTAATAAATTGGCCCAATCCGGAAGAAGAAGATTATTTCTTTTTTTTTATTTTAAAAACAAAACTAAGCAAAAAATCAAATTAAAAATTAAATACACACTCAATACAATTATTTGCACACACACTAAAATATTTTAAAACAGGTAAAGTCAAACAAATCAAAATCACGGACGAAGATGCCTATTTATGATTTTCTATTTAACGACCGGATTACGGTTCGAATTACGCATGACACACACATTTTTTGTATTTTGTTTTAAATAAATAAATAAATAAATAAAAATAAAAACGGGCAAAAGTCACAAATAAATCAACAAAGTGCCGTACAGAAATCCAAAAATTGTACAGTAGGACCAATTTTTATTCTTTTGGAGCGATTGTCGCGCAAAAACAAAAATCACGTGCTCACACCATTCATATTGAACTTTCTTCAAATAACAAAAGAAAAAATAACGGACATAATTTTTTTGTTAGTGAATCACTAATATCTCATTATGATCTTAAAACGAAATAAAACCAAAGTAAAAGAGAGGACCTTACCTTAAACTGATCAACAACGTTGTCTACCAAGCTACGTTCTCTGGAGAAAGACTGCATAAAGAAAACATCAAGACTGACTGGGAAAAGAAAAGAGTCGTAGTTAGGATTTTACCGAGGAAGGGTATTTTGGGGTTTATAAAATAATTTAAGGGATAGTAAAGTAATTTTTTGGTCAAACGAAAAAAGCTGTTGAGCTAAAAAATAATAAGTTGGGGGAGACCAACTTATGACTTTTAGCTTGTTTTGGCTTAAAAGCACCCTAACTTAAAAGCACTTAGATGTTAAGCAAAACACCAAATTAAGCCAAAAAATGCCACCCAAGCACCCTCTTATTTTCCTCCTTTGGTTAATGAGTAGAAAATCTTTGCCGGAAATTTTTTTCTAGTGTTTGGTTAGAGAGTAGAAAATATTTTTTGAGAAAAATATTTTTTATGCTACTCTCCTCACTCCCTCCCCCTCCCCCCACCCCAAGTCCCTATGTTTCCTTGCTCCCCCCTCCCCCCAAATAGCCAACATTTTTAGGACTCTATTTTCTTCGAGAATTTAATAGGTCTTCTAAAAATTCACACAAACCCAAAAGAACTAATGTGTTGCTTTACTCTTTTACGCAAAAATAACGTTGAAATTTGTGCTCCATAACCAAAAAGAAAATACTCTTTTTTTTGGTTGAAAAAGAAAGTACTCTTGCTACAACATGAAAATAAAGTATCAATTTCATTGAAATAAAAAGAAATACTTTTTCTACATCATGAAAAGAAAATACTCATTTTGTTGAAATTAAAAAAAAAATACTTTTTATATATCATGAAAAGAAAATATTTTTTTTGTTGAAATGAATATCAAGTTAGTAAGAAAAAAAACGGAGCGGTCGTGATTATTTTGTAAAAATTTCCAACCCTACTGAACTTGTGGTTATGGAAAATCCATTGATTGTGGTCCGACCTTCTGTACAAGGATATTAACAACTGTTATCTCATATTTAATTAATTCACTTTGATCTTTCTTACTGTCAAGTCTCCATTCTCCTTTTGATTTCTTGTACACTTAACAAATTGTCACGTATAGTTTTTTCAAATAAATATATTATATTGATGCATTCCTACTGTACAGTTTGCGTTCCCTTCTTCCCAAAGGCACTCATGCGCGACTGTCATTCTCTTTTTCTATATATTCCATACTATATATTTTACGCAAATTTGACGTGAGCGAAACATGAAAATACTGGTTATATATAAGGAAGCATGTCGTAGATCCGAATAATAGATTTTAAAGTTGTGCAGTTCTAGAAAGACTTTGCGTGAACTATGGCATATGAAATAAATAATTAAGTAGCTATTCCAACCCTCTATGTATTCTTCACAAAACATTCATGTGTATATAGGCAATCAAGTGCCGTTGTTGAATATATAGAGAAACTTAAACTTGCATAATTGCATTCGCCTAAAAGTTTGACTTTTATGTTCCGTCCAAGTTCATTCTTTTTAGCTTTGATTTTTCTTTTTGCTATTATTATTATTATTATTATTATTATAAATGGTTCTAGCTGTGGTATTAGGCCATACGATTATCTAGCTACATCATCTACAGGTTTTAGTAGCACCACCTTGCACTATTATCTTGACTAGTCTGCAAGTCCAGCCAACCCATTACATTATCACAAACCAAAATTTCCAACAAATTAAACCACGTAATCAGTAACTTAACAACGACGGTGCCCCATTTTTACCCTATAAATGCCCTCCTAATTAGTCCCTCATAAACACCAAACCATTGAAATCTAGCCACTATCACTTGCCACGCTTTATTACTCACCAAAATGAGTACTCTCATTTTCATTCTCTTTACCCTCTTCTTCACATATGCCAATGCAGCTACCATTATAGTTCGTAACAATTGTCCCTACACGGTTTGGGCTGCCGGAGTCCCCGCAGGAGGTGGCAAACGCCTCGACCGTGGCCAAACATGGACGATAAACACCCCTCCGGGGACTAAACAAGCCCGAGTTTGGGCCCGAACCGGATGCAACTTCGATGCATCCGGCAAGGGAAAATGCCAAACAGGAGATTGTAATGGTCTCCTTGAATGCAAAGCCTTTGGTGCACCCCCAAATACACTGGCTGAATTTGCACTAAATCAATTTGCAAACAAAGATTTTTTCGATATATCCCTTGTTGATGGCTTCAATGTTCCAATGGAATTTAGTCCTACTTCCAATGGGTGCACCCGTGGCATAACATGCAAAGCTGATATTAATGGACAATGTCCTAAAGAATTGAAAGCTCCAGGAGGTTGTAATAATCCTTGTACTGTGTTCAAGACCGATCAATACTGCTGTAACTCCGGCAACTGTGGACCGACGAATTTTTCGAGGTTTTTTAAGCAGAGGTGTCCTGATGCATATAGTTACCCTAAGGATGATCAAACTAGTACCTTCACTTGTCCTGCTGGTACAAACTATAAGGTTGTGTTTTGTCCTTGAATGGATTAAAATTTCATGCGGTTGTAATATTAGTATAATTTAGCTATCTACTTTTGTATTTGGATAAAGCAAATTTATCCTCCTAGCTAGGAGGTTTAATTACTACAAGCCAAGGAAAATAAAGAACATCTTTATGATGGGGTTGTTCGGTTGATTACCATGCTTTTATCAAATATCGTTTGTATTGGAATTGCTCCAAGTTGCATTACTGGCAAATTCACTCTTTAGTTGTTCTATTTGTTTAATCAGATATGGTTTGTTTGAAATCTTGATCCTGCTTCAATTTTATTTAACTATTCCGATTTTTTGGTTAATATTTATTTGTTAAAAAGAAAATGGTAATCCTTTCACATGATTATGTACACGATTAATAATGTGGCCCCAGAATTTCTTGCTAAGCTTTGTGTTTGACAAAAAAATATAAACTTTCGGTTTATTGGCCCAAGTAAAAGTTAGTTTTGAAGACTGACAATGAAACTCGGACATGAACCAGATACATCCTAGTGAAGCATAGATATGCTCAACTCAAGCATGTGAGATGCACGTGAAAGAGATAAACCTAACTTATCAGAAGTAATATCTCCTGATCATAATCGAAAAGGTTGCATAATGGATAAGGAAAAAGACTCCTTACTCAAAGAGATCACGATTTAAGAGAAAGATGGAGTTAGAGGTTGAGATCAACTAGAACTCTTCCACCAAGGAAGAGTAACATCAGAATTCTAGTCAATCTCTATTTACTAACTCTATAAATATCAGTGTTGTTCTCTTTTATAGGTAACGCATATAAGTAGAAGTTAATCATGAATTGAGAGCAAAATAGCAAGGCAATTTTGTAAGCAATTTGTGTGTGATTCAAGCGTGCAAACCTGAAGCTACATGAACCAGATAGAAGAACCAGTTCCAAGTGACTGTCTTTTATTCTAGTTCAATTATAGTATGTGTTTTCATATTGTACCTTTTAGTTTATCTAGAAGCAATTGTATTAGGTACTCAGAATTTTCAAGTTAGAGTTAACTTGAAGTTGTCGCAACAGTTGAGGCTGTGTGCTACAATGAGATTAGAGTTAGTCTTAGGTTTACAAAAAAGTTTTTGTAAATGTAGTTTTTGGCTCAGTGATTTTAGTGGAGAGTTTGGGAAAATCCTACTGGAAAGTAGTTCGTGATTTTTTCACCTTTTGAGCCAGGTGTTTTCCGCATAAAATCTTTGTGTTCTTTAATTTCTGTACTTATTATTCTGCAACAGTAGTAGTTGGAACACATAGAAGAACCAGGTCCTTCCATAATCAGTTTAAGTGAAAAATTGGTCACCACATAAATCACCCCCTTGTGTGGTATTGAAGTCTAAAATATTAATTAGTATCAGAGTAGGTTATCCTTGAAGAGGCTAACACCTTAGGAACAGATCAAGATGAGTGAACCACCTGAAAACTAGGAAGAACAATCCATTGCAAGACCTTCACTCTCCAATGGCCAGTACTACTCGTGGTGGAAAAACAGGATGAGAGATCGTATCATCGGAGAGGATTATGAACTATGGGACATTGTTACTGATGGTCCCTTGGCCACCATGAAGAAGAATGTTGAACGAGTGGATGTGCCAAAGACTAGAGCTGACTGCAATTGTAAGGACTTGAAGAAGTGGGAAAAGAATGCTAAGGCCAAGAAATGGCTTGTGTGTGGAATTGGTCCAGACGAGTACAACCGAATTCAAAGCTTTACTATGGCTAAGAAAATTTGGGACACTCTTCAAGTGGCTCACGAAGTAACTCCTCAAGTGAAGAGAGCAAGAGGAACACTGTTGTACTCTCAATATGAGAATTTCACTATGAAGGAAGGAGAAACCATCCAAAAGATGTATACAAGGTTCACAACACTAACAAATGAACTTAAGTCTCTTGGAAGGATTATCGTTGAAGAAGACAAGGTTGAGAAAATTTTGACAAGGGTTTTGCCAGTCACTTGGGAAAGCAAAATCACTGCTCTTCAAGAATCAAAAAACATTGCCACTCTCAAGTTGGACGAGCTAATTGGAAATCTCATTGCCTATGAACTTAGAAGGAAAATTATGAAGATGGATGCACTCAAGAAGGAAAGGAGCCTGGCTCTTAGAATCGCTGAAGGTGCATATCCAGATGAGGATGAAATGACTATGATCATAAAGGATTTCAAGAAGTATCTAATGAGAGGAAAGGGTTCTTGAAGAGGTGAAACTTACAACAAACCAAGAGTACTTGAAAATATACCAACGAGGGCTATTACAAATGTGGTAAGACTGACCATATGATCAAAAACTATCCTCAATGGGAAATTAAATGGAAGAAGGAAAGGGCTGAACGAAGAAATAGGAAGAAGGAACATGTTCATCCCAAGAAGAACAAATGATCAACAAAGGCTATGGTTGCTACTTGGGGAGAGAACTCAGATGAGGATTCAGAAGATGGAGATGGAGACGAACAAGTACTTATAGCCATTGGAGAATCAGATGCTGAACCTGAGGTAAGTGTGATTCATCTCAAATACAAGATTAAATTTTTGTCTAAAGAAAGGCTATCTGAGTTATTGTTAGATTTCATTGATGAATCTGAGGTCATAAACAATGAAAAGGAACAACTGTCTAAGGAATGTGTAATCTTGAAAGCTAAGTACAAAAATCTGGAACTCGGGGCTAGTGAAAGTGATAGTAAAAATGTTGAGTTGACGAACCAGGTTCTTGAACTTGGCACCACTGTGCCAGAGCTTAGATCTGAAAATTTAAAACTGAAATTAGGAACAGGTAAAAAGAAAGCTGATTACACACATCTCACCTTAGAAGAAAATCTAGGAAAAATGAAGGATGAGCTATACCAAAGGGATGAGCAGATAAGAGTCCTAAAAGAAGATCTAAGCAAGGTTAAACATGAACTAGACAAAACTTGTAAATGAAATAAGTCCTCTGATGCACTATCATAACTACAAGAACACCATAGTAGTAATAAAAGAGGACTTGGCTATGGATCCCTGCACCTAAGTGGTATCCTAAATCAAATACATCACACTTTCTGAGAACAAAATCCGCACACACTGTGGTAAGACTAGTCACTACAAAAGTGAATGTAATGCAAAAGCAAAGGCTAGCCAAAAGAACAAAACTTTTGTTTAAGGGAAGAATAGGCTGCCAGGATGGGCTAAAAATATTTAATTCACCCTTTTGCCTATAGAAAGGGACCCAAACTAGTTTGGGTTCCTAAGACTAACCCTTCCTTTTACAGGTCTAAGTAAAGGGGAGCAGCCAAATATGGTACATGGATAGTGGCTGCTCAAAGCATATGACTGGAAGCAAGAACCAGTTCCTTTCACTTGAGGACCTAAAATAAGGTAATGTCTCCTTTGTAAATAGTAAGAAAAGTGAGATTATTGGGGTTGGAAAGGTAGGTAATACATACTCACATTCCATTGAGAATGTCTACTTGATAGATGACTTGAAATATAACCTAATTAGTGTATCACAATTGTGCGACAGAGGAAACTTGGTAGCATTCACCTCTACCAAATGTTTTGTGATAAATCTTACCATTGACAAGATTGTTTTGCAGGGAAAAAGAGTAAACAATATATACATTGTAGATTTGTCTACTCTTTCAGAAAATGAACTCACTTGCTTAAGTGTATTGGACAATGATCCCCTCCTTTGGCACAAAAGATTTGGACATGCAAATCTAAGTCTACTCAACAAATTAGTCTCCAAGGACCTGGTGATAGGGCTGCCTAACATCAAGGTTAAGGAAGACAAAGTTTGTGAGGCTTATTCAAGGGGGAATCAGGTAAGATCCTCTTTCAAAAGCAAGAAAATGGTAAGCACAACCAGGCCGATGGAACTGGTTCATATGGATCTCTATGGTCCAATGAGAATATTAAGTAGATGTGGTAAAAAAATATGTGATGGTGCTTGTTCATGACTACTCTAGGTTTACTTGGACATTGTTTTTAACATCTAAGGATGGAGCATTTGACATGTTTACTTCCTTTGTTAGAAAAACTCAGAAACAACTAGGTAATCAACTTACATCAATTAGGTCTGATCATGGAACTGAATTTGAAAATGCCAAGTTTGCTGAATTTTGTGATGAGCATGGCATAGATCATAATTTTTCTACCCCTAGGACTCCACAACAAAATGGAGTTGTTGAATGAAATAATAGGACACTTGAAGATATGGCTAGGACTATACTTCTTTCTAGTAAACTGCCCCACAACTTCTGGGCAGAAGCTATAAATACTGCATGTTACATCATTAATAGGTGCATGACTAGACCTTTTGTATAGAAGACTCTCTATAAGTTACTTAAAGGGAGAAAATCAAATATATCCCATCTTAGGGCATTTGTATGCAAGTGCTTTGTGCACAACAATGGAAAAGACTCCCTACGTAAGTTTGATCCCAGAAGTGATGAGGGAGTATTATTAGGATATTCTTAACATAGTAAAACTTATAAAGTGTACAACAAAATAACTATGTGTGTAGAAGAAAGTGTACATGTAGTTTTTGATGAAACTAACACTCTTTCTAAGAGACAGGAACATGAAGATGAAGCTATTGGGCTGGTAAACTATTTAAATGAAGTCACAACCCAAGTTGAAGCTGCACCAGAAGAAGGAACATGTGATGGAACAAGTTCTTCCATCTTGGGCAACCTGACAGGGGGAACTTAACAAAGAAGAACTGAATCTAATTCCCAAATGGAACTTGTCCATGAGCCTGTTCTTCAGCAACAGGACATGGGAGAAATATCAAACAGAAACCAGTTGTTTGTAAAACCTTAAAAGTATCAAAATTCTCACCCATTGAGAATATAATTACTATTCCAACTTCTGGAATTAAAACTAGATCTTAATTAAAGAATCTGTGTGCTTTTGATGCTTTCATATCTCTTATTGAACCTAAAAATGTTGCTAAGTCTTTGCAGGATGCAGACTGGGTAAATACAATGCAAGATGAACTCAATTAGTTTGAAAGGAGTCAAGTTTGGCATCTGGTTCCAAGACCCAAGGACAGATCAGTAATTGGAACTAAATGGGTCTTTAAAAAAAACTTGATGAATATGGAACTGTTACAAGGAACAAGGCAAGGTTGGTGGTTCAAGGTTATAGCCAAGAGGAAGGCATAGACTATGAT